GTTTAAGGCTATTTTCCTAGAAGCTGTACATCCATAGACACATAGAAATATATGACGTCAACGCCAGACAAGAACAAGTCTCGATTATTCGCCGAATCAATTGGGCAGAAAAAAGCAAAGCAGCGGTGAAAATATATAAAAGTCTAGGTAAGTCACGCTCAAACTAAACCAAGTCTAGTTCCCTTGGTTCCCCATAAAAACAACAGAAGAGGAAAAATTCTTAGGAAAAAAATACAATTATTTTAAAGAAATGTTTTCAAAGACTAAGCGTTCTCCTACAGCCATGGCTGCCGTGACCGTTTGCTCTGTGACCAATTTATATCGGCCTTGACCGTTTAACCTGTGGTCAGTTTATCGGCCTGAACATAACTTCAATTGTAATATCGATATATTGAGTTCCTGTGACATTCGACAGGACATATCATGCTGAGCTGATAATAACTGCCAGTGGCAATGACTGCACTTAACAATGTTATTATAAATGTAATATCAGATGCTGGGTATTTATGATTCTGATTCTGAATCTTCGGCACTGATCCTAATTACATTGCCATACAGTCAACCCAACGTATGTCACTTTACTTACTGTCCCCCCTCTGCAACATAGCCAACACATCAAAATTGGGAAAATCAGGTGAGCGCACTTTTATTTGATCATGATGGTCATAACACCTCATTTTCCAGCCTATTAACGATGGATGGCACTATTGGTTTCACATAAATCGCTTAAAGGACATGGTTTGGGAACTATTCAAAATTGTTAAAACAGTTATAGAAGTTATGTCTGGAATAGTCTGCCGAATGAGCTCCGTAAATAAGAGCTACAGAACTTCAGGCATATCGATGAATTGATACTGTTGGTGTAAGAGCCATTTCCCTACCACTGATTTACCAAGCTGAACGGGATATGACAGAGACTAGTGAAACAGCCTAATCTGTTTCATATCTATATCTACATGTGACGATTTAGAGTTACACAAACCTATGCAAGACTATGAAAAGAGAGATGCCCTCAACATTCCAAAAGTCAACTTTCCCTTCATGTCGAGCAATATTCCAAAAGTCAACTTTCCCTTCATGTCGAGCTATATTCCAAAAGTCAACTTTCCCTTCATGTCGAGCTATATTCCAAAAGTCAACTTTCCCTTCATGTCGAGCAATATTCCAAAAGTCAACTTTCCCTTCATGTCGAGCAATATTCCAAAAGTCAACTTTCCCTTCATGTCGAGCAATATTCCAAAAGTCAACTTTCCCTACATGCTGAGCAATATTCCAAAAGTCAACTTTCCCCTCATGTCGAGCAATATTCCAAAAGTCAACTTTCCCTTCATGTCGAGCTATATTCCAAAAGTCAACTTTCCCATCATGTCGAGCAATATTCCAAAAGTCAACTTTCCCTTCATGTCGAGCAATATTCCAAAAGTCAACTTTCCCTTCATGTCGAGCAATATTCCAAAAGTCAACTTTCCCTTCATGCTGAGCAATATTCCAAAAGTCAACTTTCCCTTCATGTCGAGCAATATTCCAAAAGTCAACTTTCCCTTCATGTCGAGCAATATTCCAAAAGTCAACTTTCCCTTCATGTCGAGCAATATTCCAAAAGTCAACTTTCCCTTCATGTCGAGCAATATTCCAAAAGTCAACTTTCCCTTCATGTCGAGCAATATTCCAAAAGTCAGCTTTCCCTTCATGTCGAGCAATATTCCAAAAGTCAACTTTCCCTTCATGTCGAGCAACATTCCAAAAGTCAACTTTCCCTTCATGTCGAGCAATATTCCAAAAAGTTTTATAGTAGTTTCTTAGGGGACATACAGGCACAAGTGACAAGGATAATGTCCGATGCAATTCAATTTTGACCAGTACCTCATGTTCTCATGTAGTATTGTTTTCAGGTGACCAAACAACTCGCCCGTGTATTTGTTTGCGATGTGTTTGTGACGTGTGCCCACCTTTTCATCCGGTATCATCACTTTTCCACAAACGCATGCTGAAACGTTCTCTTATGATTATGGTAATAACATTGCGGCTGTTATTTACATCCTAAACTGACCTCTTCTACAATACGTCGATTGTACTTTTCAGGGTTTGCCTCCAGTCAACATGACTACCACTAATTTCCAATGATCTTCATAAGACCTACCGAGATGCTGTGCTACTCAGCTCCCACTGCTCATGATGTGGAATTGGCGACCGGTAGAAAGAAATCCTTCAGGACAAAGTCAGGCGATCAGAAGTTCATATTTGAGGAGGATTCTGGAAAAGTTATTATCAGCCAACCGGACGGGAGAGCGCTGCATCAAGAATCCCCGAACAAACCAAGGAATTACATAGGTTTAGCAGTGGTAGTGCTGATATGTTTTAATCCCCCGTTCGGCATCATTGCCATTCTTTTCTCAGTGAAATCAAACAAAGACTTTCTGAACGGAAGATTCGTCACTTCGAGGAGGAAGGGCAAAGCATCATGTGTGTTCAGTGTGATTGGAATTGTGTCCACTTTAACAACTATTTTCACTGTTATCTTTTGGCCAGCGTTCGCTAATGCTAAGGATGGCACATGATACCAACGTTGAGAAACCATTTGTAAACAAACTGTACACCGAGGAAGATGCTTGTGTTCAAATAAAAGCAATCGTGGTTGTGAATTCTAAATCAAAGATTGTGATTTGCAAGAGAGGATTATTTTAAGATGGATTGAAGGACGTTCGTGGGCGATAACCAAATCTCAAAATACGTCCGTGTATGACTTTTTCATGCTCAAAATGTTTACATGTATATTTTCTGTGTGATCAATGTTTTACCTTTCTGCCGGTCATCAAAAGTAAACACGTGACTAAGAAGCGGGTAAACGGGGAATATTTTCTTTCAGTGTGGGTACTCAAGTATTTTTAACGAAGATGCTGAATGTATGCAGCTAAGCTGTCATTGTATGCATTTCAAACGACGTCGTTGTTCCCCATCATTCATTCCATATTGGCGTTTTCGCTCCTTGTCAAGTTTAATCCTACTGCCAGTGTTTCCCGTCCCCCCTCTGTGATGTGATGTGGTGCACTGCTTACAGAAAGCCATTGTTTATAATCCTTTTTGAGTTGTGTTGTGTAATCCTGCAGTTAACCAACCTATTTGTTGTTGGGCTTCCATCAGTGTGCGAGTCTGAAATGCTGTTTGTAATCCCGCCTTCTCATTCCCATGCACAGCTGGTTATTGACGCACATCACTCAGGTTGCTGTTAAAGTGTGTTACAGAGAAATTGCCCACTCAAAATTATAACCGCAGGTGGCCAAATCGCCTGATGCATCGCATTGAACTTTGTTGAACATGAAAGCAAATGTTATCTGAAGTGTACTGAGAAAACAATATGTGAAATGCTGGACTTAACCGTAGATAACATCTACGTGACCTTTTGGGGATACGACATTTAGACAACAAGCAGGCAACGCTGAGGGCACCAATAGTGCACCAATAGTGCACCCCTCCTCTTCTGGTTCTTTATGCACACGAATCGGAATTTCAGTATCAAAAAGAAGGGAATTTGACCAAGATGCTTAACTTAAGCTAAACACATATCGATAATCTGATACCGTTTCAATAATGGCCAAATAGCCAATTCCTTTTCATTGATCTGCCCACCTGAACTAGATATATAAGAGACCAGTGGTACAGCTTCATCCATTTGATATTTATACCAATGTATGACGATCCTTAGTGACAACAAATATTCACAAGACTGTATAACAAGAGGGATTACTTCAACTTTCCAATATTCAACTTTCATACCGAGCGATAGTCTAGCAGGTCTTTCCTCATGTGTCTACACAACTGTGTTCACAACTTTTGAGGTACATTTGAGCAAGCTCAAGATTTTAAAGAGCGTTTTTCTCAAAAGTTGCTTGATCAGGGTAACAACATCCAAGGCCTTACTTTTTTTGGTAGACATGTGAAGGACATTTCAAAATTGTCCCCCTAAAATAGATCGAACTTGTGATACGCCACTCATTATTTTGGGTTGTGATTGTGTGTCTCAAAACCACTGCCTCGTGACAACACGTGCTGTGAGTCATGCCCCCATTATGGCTTCTCATAGTCTTAATTGTGTTTTCTGTCTCACCTAGGCCTCAAAATAGCAATGAATGTGTTGAAGCCTGAATGCAATTATTAATGTTGTGCTCGAAACACAAGATATCCGTAGCCTGAGCTTGAACATAGCTTGATTTGATTACCATATTCAAGCTAAAATCGGTTGGTTTTAACAATATATTGTGAAATGAATGGGAATGTGGGCTACAATCTTAGTGTTGTAAAAACGTTGTTAAAAGGGACGGGATCTCTGTGCCTGAGTACTTTTATTGATAAGTATTCTAGTACTTGTCTTTCTCAAGTAACCACGTGCCATTCGGCTTGACCCAATAATAGCTAAATATTAAATTTAATCAATACTTACCAAGTATTAGTATTTTCTGCATATTAATGACCAGGCAGTTTCAGCTATGACATTATCCATTGCATGACGTCAAGGCATTCATAGCACTTCAGATTGACGACACGTACATGTCACAACAAAGGGAGCGCCATGGAAACTACTGATTTCTTTGGTATTTTAAAATGTTGATGTACTCAAGAGCGTACGCAAATCTGAAAACATATCTCCCGAGAGCCGTATTTAATAAACCCTCTTCAGCTGTTCCACATTATCATCTATTACAAATAAGATGCAACAAATCGAATATGTATATACTCTTTTATGTCTTGCATACGCCTTTGTAATTTCAACTTAAGCTGTGATAAATATCAAAGTCATTTTTTCGTTTCTATTTGGGTCGAGATGTCTGTATATGTTTATACTCCAAGATACAAATTTTTGCTAAAAAGCTGGAGTGATATGACCCGTTCCACATGCATATGGAACAATGTTTCGTGGATTTAGAATTCACAAATCGGAAGAAAGACAGCACGTTTGTAGCAATGCTATGTTTTTAGGTATAAAAGCCTAATGTTGCCACTTTGAGTATATTTATCGGGTTTTTTTCAATTATTTAATATGCTCTTTGGAAATTCGATTTTTTAAAAAATAAACATGAAATAACGAGAAACTTTTTGAAATAACAAGCAAATAATCAAAGTGACGATAAAAAATTCGAAATTTCGAGATTTTGAAAATTATTTATTGGGTCAATTTACTTACCTTTACTATGGTGACATGTAGTGTTAAACCCGTTGCAATGATTAGACAGTGAATCATAAACACATGGTTATGATAAAATAGGAATCCAAAATGGTGATGATGTAAAGGTTTTGGTGACTTACATTTGTCACTACATCAAGGATAGTTTAACATATCGGAGTTTATTTCTTAGAATCGTCCTGATTTGTGTTGAAAATTGTCAATGTTGTGGACATATGCTGTATTTAGCTCACAGCTTTAGAGCAAGACGTCACTTCCTGGCTTCTAGATTTGTGTACACAGTTATAGTTGTATTTGCTGCAACAACTTATAAGTGCTATTTTAGAAGCCGAAGTAACAATGAAGGCACAGCCGTAGTAACAATGCTGACACAGCATTTCACCTTCTTTATTCTGTCAATACGACGTTTCTTCACAGATGCTCGTACCTTTATCAAGGAAGTAATTACTCGCTTCATACATGCACTAGCATATGTACTTTCTAAGTTGACACCTATTGTATTGTATTAAGTACAATGGTCGCACCATTCTCTGGATATTTAGCAGATACAAATGTAGACATTTTTCAATAGTTTTTATTAATCATCTAAATGACAATTTATATCTTTAAATCATTGTCAAACGCTGTGTTTAATCTAGGAATTCCCTACTGAGTGTAAGCTGTTCATATAATTATACATTTTTGACAAATACATCAATCACCATGTAAGTTCGTTATTTGAAGTGCACATGGGTATAAGAGTTATTTAAACTACTGGTCATGTCCTCTGTTACCCTGCGTTCATGTTCAACGTCATACAAGTATTTGTCCACGTATGGTGCTTTTCACATGACAGATCGTGTCCCGACATACATATTTTAGATTCAAGATAAATAATATATTGTCAACAGGTACTCATATATACTTCAGAATATTTATCCAATGTTATTTTATAATTTTATAAATAAATTGTATGGATATATTTATATATATAAATATATATATATATATCTCGCAGAAAACACATCATATGAACCTCTACAAAAGGCTTCTAAGTATATCGTCATCAAAATATATATGTACCTTTAGTTCTTCAAGTGGCATGAGGGGCGGTGGCACAGCGTATTGGTTAAAGCATTAGCCTGTAACGCCTAGGGCACGGGTTCGATTCCACACATAAGTATTCTTCTTCTGGAAATTCTTCTTTCCATGATATTTATTCAATGGTTCGAGGATAAGGAAGAAGTTGTGAAACAGTAACTGGAATTATATATATTCATTGACAAAATAACGTTGTAAAGTCACACAAAAAATGTGAAAAACAATTAATCTACCGAACCAGTAATGTGAGGTTTGGCTTTGACCAATGGGATCTGTTTAGGCACTTATTCGAGACTGATTATTCTCTAGCCTTGACGTGTTATATGAATGGAAAGCCCTTTGAATGGGAAAAAGTGGAATAAATTAATCAACATATGGTTAGTGCAGTTTGATTCTGTACTTCAGACTGTGTGACTTTCTGCCTTCACAATCTTCCAGTTCATCTTTCTATTGGTATGAAAAAATCCCTTATATTTTATAACATGAATCACCGGGCTATTTTGTATTGTATTATCATTTGTATTATGAATAAACCATATAAAGCACACACACAGGGTCATTGTCTTATGTTAAAGGTTTTATTGGGATTACTTCGGGCACGGGTGGCACAGCCGTCTAAGGCGCCGCAATTCGCAATTCAGAGTTGCTTCCCTTGGGTACGCAAGAAACCAATGATTGTGGGGTCGAACCCCAGTTCCCCCGATTATGTTTCTAGGTTTGTCAGCACCATATGCGTGCCTATTGGTTTCACTACAGTGGTAAACGTCTGCGACCTGCATCGGCTTCCTACCTTATTAAGCTGACATGCCGTGATGTAACTCGAATACTCTTAAATCGGCCTTAAACTCAACTCACTCACCCGCATACACATGCATGCGTGCATGCACAGATACATACATACATCTGAAAGTATTGAATCGATATAGAACTGAGCCGATGTGTATCAACTTGAGCCAATTGTTGCGCATCTTGATGTTGCCGACTCAAGTGTAAAACAACGTTTATTGTCAATCCCAAATTGTTCACATCCATCTTAAGTATTTCTAATTGTACAACCATAAAACTGTTGAGTTCATAGGACACGAAACATATGCTTCATCCGCTGTTTACAATCACGGGAGGGCGGTGGGGTAGCATAGTGGTTAAAGCGTTCGCTCGTCACGCTGAAAACCCGGGTTCGATTCCCCACATGAGCACAATGTGTGAAGCCCATTTCTGGTGTCGATGGCATATTACTAACATCGACGTAAAACCAGACCCATTCACTTCAATCACAGGAATTTTTTTTGTCACGTTGTGAGTACAACCTTTAAATGATCATGTTTTTTCGGCCGTGAAAACATTTATGTGCTTCATAACGAATACATGACACTAAGCCCCTGATGCTGAGCTGGAGTAGGACTGAAGTTAACATGCTAATGTAAGTTGCTTGGAAAAAAATATATGTTCATAAACGCGCTTTTACAAAATGATAAGTAAGTCAGCTGTGCCTTTTCTATACTAAGCATGGGTATTCTAACAATATGTTCTTGCAACTCTACAGCAGTATGGTATATATAATTTTTACCAATGTTTTATACGCCATATGCAGAAATATTCCAGCAATTTCACTGCAGCTTGTAGATAATGGAGTTTGGGCCATACAAACCATTAGTTGACATAGCAGCCCAAGTCAATCAAGTCAATCAAGTCATCAACGCCGCCTACCCGATTCAATTTAGTTGCATCTTCCGACAAGCAGAGGAGGACCATCTTAATCCGGGTGCCAGTGCCACATTGGTTCAGGGAGTCGACAGAACCCATTATGTCCCGTTCTCTTTCAGTGAGACACATGTGATGTTTCTTATTAGCTATACATTGCTTTTGCATGAATACCCTTACCAGAAGGTCATACATGGCGTCGTCGCAGTTAGAAGGAAAGCTTTCAAAGACAGCTGAAGACCCGGGAAACCGTAAATGACTATTCACGGGAACGATCTAGCCATTTGCTAAGCAGGAGTCGATTTCCGTGCCTAATAAGAGAAATGTATGGGCATTTAGCGCTGTTATATAACATACAATAACTGATGGATATGTGTCCAGACAGCCACACGAACTCATTTACCTCATGCTAACATACTGATACGCACAGCAGACAGATACATTCGTGCTGTATAGCCACCACGCTTTATAATAACCCTTTTCTTTTACCTTCCAGGACGAATTCTGAATCATCAGCACTTTGTGACTTTGGAATGTGCTATTCTGTTGAAGGTGAGGTGAGGTGAAATTGGGTTTAAAGATGATTGCACTTATATCGCGACGTGCATGCACGTGTGTGTGTGTGGCTGCTTGTACTAGTCCGGACTGATGCCGATTTATAGTGCTAGCTCACTGAGATACCATGCCGCAGTTTAACATGAATACCCCACACAGACACAGTATACTGACTCCGAGCCGACCAGTCTTTGTTTTATCCCCTTAATGTCGAGCGCCAGACAGGGTAACAACAAGTACCATCTTTTAACGTCTTTTGGTATGACGCGGCCGGGGATCGAACCCCGGACCTTCCGCTCTCCGGGCGGACGCTCTACCACAAGACCACGGAGGCGGCTTATTCTGTTGAAGAGACATCAAGTCAGGTGTTGTCACATTAATAGATTAGGAGAAAGAATGATTAAAAGTTTCGAAATGTGTAAAGTAAACTGTTCCCTTATAATCCGAGTAAGGACGGTTAAATCGAAAATAACTTTTCTAAAAAGTTAATTAATAATTAATATAAAAGGAACTAAAGTAGCCGATAACTAACAAAATATACAGTAGCTTGCTGGTGGCAAAGGCGGTCCCCAGACAACCTATATTTGCCCTACAACCTCCGCAAGAGCCAATTCAATTACACCAATGCTACAGACCCCCTGTCACGTACGCGTCGTGTTGCCCCAGCTGCATCTCCCGCGACGGCGACGGCGACGGCGACACCAGAACCACGAGTTGTCCTGCAGAACGGATTATGGCGTGTCTCCTCGTTAATATATTGTCAGCAGTGCCCTACCACACAGAGACAGAGATACATCTGAGGCTGCCTAGACGTGTCTAGACAGGGTTTACACAACTCAGTGATCTTCTTGTCAGAAGGATTGATTTAGTTAGTCGGTAATATCACTTATATAACCCATCACATCGTCTACCACTTTGATCATTGTCGCTCAGGTTGCGAGAAGAACAATATACAACCTCATTTGCGTTATGTATCAAACAGCGTGATGTAGAATATCATATCTAAAAACACAATTAGGTGTTGTCTACTTCCTGTGTTCTTGCCCGGGTTCCGGTGTACAAAACTGGCTTACCGCTACGACTGTCGTAAGTCTGTGGTGAGGTATGGAAGTTACGCTCACCTTAGCGCTAAGATCGCTTTGTACAGCGGTACCCTGGCTGAAGCATTATGGTTTCCGTATCCTGGATCGGGGTTGTAGACGTAAATACATTGCCAGTACACAAGAAACTTGTATTTGATCAAAACATGTGTGTGTGTGTGAAGATTTTGTCCCCTAAAATGATTGCAAAATTAATTAATTATTCTTCAGACTTGTACATAAAGAAATTGCCTGCTACAAAAATGTCACAGGTTCAACAAATGGGTTTGTAGCCAAATGTCAAATGGTGTGTCTTTTATTTGGAACAGTTAGCTAATTGATGTTAGTTTCCTATTTGTTTTATTCCCTAATGTCAGATAACTTGCGGATTCCCAGGTGTCCAATTGAAATGTCAAATGTATTTATTTGTTTCCAATTTACTGACGTATATCGTAACGATGTCCCAAAACATAAAAAAATGTTAAAAAGTTTGATATTTACTTAAAACTTGTACATCTAGTCTAAACAACAGACAAAAGACATCTCTCACTGAACCTATTGGTATAATTTATTGACATGTTTGCTTCATGGTGAGGGAGTAGACATGTTTCTTATGCGGGTAAAATGGTCTTTAAAACTGATACAAAGCAAGCCTTTTTGCTTTAAGTTCAAATTGATGAAATATAACAGCACTTAAGTCCAAAAATATAATTTGAAGTGCATTCTAACTCACCACTTTCATGTCAATATTGAATACTGACTTGGACGACTTGCTTGTATTTCACAGCTGCTTTTAATTATCAGAAATGAGGTCAAAACAGGAAAATCACATCGAGTGGCAGGGCAACAATCAACGCCTCGGTCTGCGGACCTCCCTGTCCACGTGCTAGTCTGTAAATACACGAGACAGGACAGAAAGACAGCCCAGTATTGATTTTTATGGAATGGTTCGTGCCATTACTTACAAAGCACCAGGCATGACAACAATCTGCCATTAAAAAATTCACATTCCTGAGAGGGTAAAATCCGACATGTAAGAGCTTCAAGGAGATGAAGTACAAAAACACAAAACAAAATAGACGCCTTTGTAAAAAACGTTTTTACTGAAAATATATTTCACATCGTTTACCTTAATGACATAAATTATTGCCGAGGTGTAAAAAACAAACATTGTGTTGGAAGGGAAGTCTAAAGCAGCTGAAATACAAGATCAAAGATTGAATCTTCTCCGTGACAGTTAAGTATGGACGCGTATAGAAAGAAATTGATTAATGAACCGGGTTGGCATAGTCAGTCACATCCTACGGTCTTTGATAACATTTTCGCGATTCCTTTCTTATCTGTAGTTTTTCAAATAATCCATTAAAGAAGAAGGATTATTTTACATTTCGACCCAACAGCGCATATTTGAACAGTGAATTCTTTTAGATCAGAGCCACTTGACATGAAAGATCAGGTGCAACTTTACAGGCCGCCGTGGTATGTCGGGAGTACTGCTGCCCGGCGCCTGTATCAAACACTTACGTTTTACTTGCAACGATGTGTGCAGGTAAAACGTTGTTCCTGACAGGTGACCTCATTTGCATTTATCGATCGTGATACCAAGTGTTTGTTTGTTTGTTGTTTAACGCTACAATAACCAATATTCCAGCTATATGACGGCGGTCTGTAAATAATGGAGTCTGGACCAAACAATCCACTGATTGACATCATGAGCATCGATCCACGCAATTGAGATGCGATGACATGCATCAACCAAGTCAGTGAGCTTGACCACCCGATCCCGTTAGTCGCCTTTTACGATAGCAAAGTCGCCTTTTACGGCAAGCATGGGTTCCTGAAGACCTATTCAACCCAGGATTTTCACGGCAAGCATGGGTTGCTGAAGACCTACTCTACCCCGGGTCTTCACAGGCCGGCAAGCATATGTTGCTGAAGACCTATTCTACCCCGGATCTTCACGGGTCTGATACCAAACGTACCATCGATAACACTTTCCCTCATACTTAAAATGTTGTTGGCACAAGCTATCCAAGAAACAACAGAATCGCCTTGCTCAAATATTACATATTTAAATTACTTATATAATATTCAAACATACAACATGGTGTAAAATAATAGCACAGTTTGCTTTGAAACCTATATACTTCCAATATATATTTCACGCCCAAAATACTTCGTAATCTTCCTTTGGAGCATTTGAAGCACATTT